AAGTCGATCTGGAGGCAATGGTTTCTTCCTAATATTGTCTGCAGGGCACTCTCTCAGAGTCAAGCGCATGTAGTGGCGACCAAGTCATGTGTGTGGGACGCGTAGACGGGCTTTTTAGCTTTGTCAGTAACTGTTCCCACACCCACCTCGAGTAGCTCTGACAGTGTCTTGCCATCAAATCGAGGTGATTGAGTGAGGCGAGAGTACGGTAGACGTGGCGCAAGTCTAGCTCACTACAAACTTTTTCACGTGAAAGCCACTAGTGCTCCGTTCGCATCGTGGAGCACGCTGCTGACGTTGTCCTTACTTACGATGGACGAACTGATTTATTCAATTGAAAAAAGGTCGTCGAAAAATTGTGTGGAGGGAAGGGGGGGGATTTGTCAGATCGCCAAAATTCTATCTTCCAAACAAGGAGGGTATGGGTTCAGAACCCCATCGGCAGATGGTTTAGTTGAATGAACAACTGCATTCACTGTGTTTTATCATCTGCCCTCCCCTGGACCTCGCAATGACCGACAGATGACAAAAAAGGGCAAACCGAGCATTGTCATGTTCTACTCCTCTTTGACCTAACGGGCACATGTCGCTCAAATAACCTGGGATTCAAAAGAAAAGCTGTGTAAAGCAAGAGAGATTGCCATGGCACTTCCTGCCAGCTGTCATCGCCGTCGTCAGTCAGCTAGTCAGGTTTTCTTGGCTGGGGACAAGAGCCGGTGCCTACTAGGAATGTTGGGCCAAATGCGCTGACCTTAGGGCGTGCGGGTGGACGGGGACATGTCGGTTACGATAGGGAATACTAACGAGGGTTCATTAAGTCGGCACTCCTCCTCTGCATAATTATGTGCGTGTGTGTGTGTCGCTTTGTGTGACTGCCTGTCCTAGGCCAGAGGACACAACTAGACGAGCACGTCCGGTAACCTGATCAGTGAGCGCGTGCTTCCCCGATCGCATCAACATGCCCGATCACAATCAACAGGTCCGTGGCTTAATGGAAGAGCGTTAGAAAAAGGAGACGGGTTCAAATCCCCCCTGGGGTGCGGAAACCCGCGGAATCAAGCTCAGGCTGCGCACAGGCTGTATTTGGCTTCAGTGGGCGTAAAGGAAAAGCTTCCTCTCATAAAATTGTTTCTTCCGGAGCAATCTGCAAATGCAGATGCACGTAGTCAATGAAATCGCCCAGGCCGAGACGCCATTTGTAGAGAGTGGATATCGGTTGTACAAGTTGGGCCTGACTGAAATATAAGAGGCTATATA